ATTTCAGGCATGAGCCACTGTGCCCACCTAAGAAAAAATGTAATAAAATGTTTAGAAAGCTTAAAAGTACCAGTAATGAGTCATGTTAATAGCACAATACTACTGATATGATGTGACGAGAATGTCACTTCACCTCTGGGGTTGGTATTCCTCTCCAAAACCCATAACCGCAGTCTAATCACAAGAAAAGAAATAGGCATACCCAAAGAGAGGTGTATTCCTTAAAATACCTGAGCAGTGCTCTTGTCAAAGTCATGAAAAACAGGAAAGATTGAGACATTGTCATAAACCACAGAAGCCAAAGGAGACATGACAACGAACTGCAATGTAGGATCCTGGATTGAACCCTGGAACAAAAATGAACAGTAGTGGAAAAACTTGTGAAATCTAAATTAAAAGTTTAGAGTTTAGTTAGCAATGTGTAAATGCTGGCTTCTTGGTTTTGATAAATGCACCATGGTTGATGCAAGATGTTAACAACAGAAGAAACTGGAAGAAGGATATATGGGAACCCTCTGCAACTTTTTTGTAAATCTACAAGGATTCCAAAATTAAAAAAAAAAAAAAAGAAAAGTTTGGTAACAAAGGTAATGGAAACATCAAAGAAACGCAAAACCATCTGTACAATTTGGGCCTTGTGGCCAAGTTGGGTAACTGAGAGGGTTCTTCCCAGCTCTAGAGATTCTCATTGATTATCTGATTGCCCACAAAACAGCAGAGGTTTGTGGGCAATTAAGCATTCCTCTAGTGTGGCAGTTCTCAAATTTTGTGGGTATCAGAATTACCTGGAAACAAATAAGGACTACTGGGACCTCACTGATGTAGACTAGCACTTGGACATCTGTTTTATTGTTTTTTGTTTTGGTTTTTTTGAGTTGGAGTCTCTCTGTCGCCCAGACTAGAGTGCAGTGGCCGCTCCCGGCCGCCGCAGCCTTGACCTGCTGGGCTCTGGCGAGCCTTCCGCCTCAGCCTTCCGAGTAGCTGCAACTACAGGCGTGTGCTACCACGCCCGGCTAATTTTTTTATTTTATTGTAGAGATGAGGTCTCGCCTGCCCAGGCGGGTCTCGAACCTGCGGGCTCAAGCAATCCACTCACCTCAGCCTCCCAGAGGTGCAGGATTACAGGCTGAGCCACCGAGCCCGGCTGACATCTGTATTTTTTACAAAGTTCCCTGGTGAACCTGATACATGCCCAAGCCTGAGAACCACTGCTCTACTGCTTTTCTATGAACATGACTACTAATATGGCCATTACTTCATTCAACAGCTACTTGAGCAACTATTCTATGCTAGCCCATTATTAGTACTAAGTGTACAATAGTAGATATGCAGGCAAAGATCATGCCCTCATGGAGCTTACATTCTAATTTTTTTTTTTTTTTTTTTTGAGTCAGGGTCTCACTCTGTTGCTCAGGCTAGAGTCCAGTGGTGCAATCATAGCTGTGACCTCGAGTTCCTGGGTCAAGCAATCCTCCTGCCTCAGCCTCCTGAGTAGTTGGGACTATAGGTGTACACTCCCATGCCGGGCTCTTTTTTAAATTTTTTTCTGTAGAGATAAGATCTTACTATATTGCCCAAGCTGGTCTCAAACACCTGGGCACAAATGATCCTCATGCCTTAGCCTCCAAAGCATTGGGATTGCAGGCATGTGCCACCACGTGGGACCCAGAGCTTACATTCTAATATGCAAATAAATATACACTGTCTGAGTCTCTCCTTGTATTTTCCAGTTCCAAGTCCCCAAAGAGAAAACCTGATTGACATAGCTAGTCACCATTATCTGTTTTGGGGGTTTGGAACTTTTTCTAAAAGGCCACACCATAGGTTATTTATTCAGTGTAGGTGTTGGCTACCTGTAGGTCAGGGTCCCATTCTGGTTCAGTCAGGTATAACTGAGGGTCCATGGCACATAACATGACCCCTCATGTGTTTTGCTCCGTCAGCACAATGCATTAGGTTAAGCATGGATGTAGGAGGTCTCTCTGACTGACCTTCCAGTGTGGTTGCGATCCAAATCCAGCAGGAACCAAACTTCCCCAGGGTAGTATAGCAACCAAAAGACTACACTAGCCAATACAGGTTGAGTATCCCCAATGTGAAAACCCAAAATCCAAAATCTGAAACTCTGTGGCATTTTGAATTTTAGATTTTTGGATTGGAGATGTTTAACCAGTAATATTTCAAAATCCCAAACATTTCCAGTTCCAAGCATTTTGGACACGGGATACTCAACCTGTATGACAAAAGTGACCTCTCCACCATGAACTGCTTATTTATGAGGACTCAGAATTAATAAAATCAGGATAGACACACAAAATTGAGTTTCAGATGCTTCCTCCAAAAAAATAGGTTGCTTCTGGTTTGATTTTCTTTAGCCTCTAGATATCTGCTTTTGCTGGAATTTGCTTTTCTGCTGTCTCTGATGTTTCAGAATGCCAACCTGCCTGAAGCAGATTCCTACTCCAGTTGAGACCTACTTGGACAGTCATCTCCATGGGTTCCCTCCATCATTTGTAATGATTTTTATTAGCTTTGACAGCATCTTTGGGATTTTATCCTTTGCCCATGTTTGAGCATATTCTTTAACTAAAAGAGGTAAATAACTGGCACCAGGAAAACTAGGGCAATAGTTATCACATTTTTTCAGTCCCAAGCCAGGTGGTCCCTGAACCTCACCCCCCCACACACCAATCGCCACTAAAGAAGTAACACGGGTATTGATAAGGCAAAACCAGTAGCAGCAGAGGTAGCTTATTAACTGATTCTGAAAAAGAAAAGGCTTTGAAGCTATTCATTACATGCATTCCATTAGAATCAAGAAACATTACTAGCATATTCCCAAATTCAACCAGGAAGTGGGAATCTAAAGATGAAAAAGACATGATCCTCATGCTGAATGAATGGACCACAAATGGTAGAAGACAGATCAGTGATGATGATGATGATGATGATGATGATGATGTGACAGAAATGAAAAAACTAACTGTTCCAGGAACTCAGGGCGAGGAAAGGGTCACTCTGAATTTAAAGATAAATAAGTAACATTTGAGATGGGCCCTAAAGGATTGGGATTTTTTTCAAAGTTAGGATTTTTCTAAGTAGAAAATATAAGGAAAAGCATTCAGATGTAAGGATTAGCACGAATAAAGTCAAAAAGGTAAGAAAGCAAATGACTTGTGTGGGGAATAGCAAGTTGCCACACTCGTGAGGCTGAAACATACAGCACAGCTTTAAGGAAGGGTTAGACTTGCTCATGAACCACCGGAGATTCACAACCCAGGCTTCACAAGCCATGGTTGGTGTCAGATGTCTGGGAAACAACTGGTCCAAAAATTTTGACCACTGACGATAGCAACAGCTTATGAAACTATCATGAAAAGAATTATAATTGCCAAGCAGAACAGGAACATTATCATTAAATCTAGTTCTTACATTTATTCCCTTGCATTAAATGTATTAATTTGTCAAATTAGCTGTCAGGCACCCTGGTGAATATTAGGGACACAGAGCCAACTACACAGCAGACTCTGCCCTTTACATGCCTAACAACTGGAGATTCATTTATTATGTCTTCTACAAAACTGCTATTGACTTTTTGAAGAAAGAGAAATTATTTTTTAATTTAAAAATTTAAATACTCATTTATTATTACTAAAGCAGTTCATAAGCATTATAGAATATAGAGCAAACCAAAAAAAAAGGAAAGACCTGTCACCATCCAGTGATCAGATGGTAATCCTTGGCTCATGTCCTCCTCTCACATCTTCCTATGCATACATTTATGTTAATACATATTTTGTTTGAGAAAATGTTTTTAGATTGTCTACAGACGCATCCTGTCTTGTGAGTGGTTTTCTTCCGTCATTAATTTCCACTTTTCCACAGACGTGAATAAATGCTTCTAGTACTTCATATTCCAATTTCTCCAGTTGAGCCCAAATGAGCCAAAAATACCCTCTATGGCTTATTTCTCCAAATCAACCCCCACTCAAGGCCCTGCATGGCATCTCCTGGTCATGTTTTTCATGTCTCGTTTAACCCAGCAGAGTGCCTTTCATATGATTCTGACTTGAGAAGAGAGCTGGTAGTTGTCCTTCGGAAGGCCACCTCTCGTATTTGCCTACTTCCTTGGAGTGTCATTCCACTTGTTCCTCTATCCTCCCCATATTTCCTGTAAACTAGAAGTTCAAACTAAAGATGGGATAGAGGCAAGTTCATTCTGGGCTAGAATGCTTCACGGGCGATAACGTTCTTTACGTTGCATCACATCAGAAGACACCTAATATGTGGTTGATCCACATTAGTGATGGTCGAATTGACCACCGGGCAATGGCAAATACCTAGGGTTTTCAGAGGGAGCACATGTAAGGGGCAAAAAGAGCAACATGTAGGATAAGTGTGGATAAACCTTGGCTACTTTATTATTTTATTTATTTATTTTTTTGAGTCAGAGGCTCACTCTGTTGCCCGGGCTGGAGTGCAGTGGCATGCTCACAGCCACCACAGCCTCGACCTGCTGAGCTTAGGCAATTTTATTCATTTACTTACTTACTTACTTACTTACTTACTTGTTTGTTTGAGTTGGAGTCTCACTCTGTCACCCAGGCCGGAGAGCAGTAACACGCTCATGGCCACTGCAGCCTCGATCTGCTGGGTTCAGGTGATCCTTCCACCTCAGCCTTCCAAGTAGCTGGAACTACAGGCACTTGCCTCCACGCCCAGCTAACCATAAAAGAACCTGGTAGGTGATTGTGAGACAGCTGTTTTATAAAAGGAACGTTTCCCTTTATAACATTTGGGTGAGCAGATGTGGTAGTCACCTCACAGAGAGCCACTATTATCCGTAGCAGCACAATCTGGGATTAGACCAATAAATCCAGAGGAGATTGGTGTATTTTACCCTCGCTCCTACATTTTCAACAGCAGGGTGCGCTGCAGCCACGCAACTGTGAGCGAGCGGGAACGCGTCTAGACAAATCTTGTCCAGTTCAGGACCCCGTAGCAAGGTGTCGCAGCTGGAGGAACCGTACTTCCGCTCTCTCGCGGACACGCTAGGCCCGCCCCTCTCTCCACTGGCCCTCCCCCTACCCGCGCGCTCAGGCCCCTCCCGATGGCTCGCGACAGGTGGCGCTGTCTGCGGCGTCACTGAGGTCCCGGCTGCCGCGGAGACGATCTCCCGGCGGGCTGTGCGGCCCGGCTCCCCGGCGGCAGCGAGTGCCACGTCCCAAGTGCTACGCGGAGGGGCGGACGGGCGGTGCGCGGGGGGCGGGAGCAGCGCGGAGCCAGGTTCGGCCACAGCGATCGCCCGCCGCCATGGGCTCCTCGCAGAGCGTCGAGATCCCGGGCGGGGGCACCGAAGGCTACCACGTCCTGCGGGTAAGGGCTCCGACGGCCGCCCGGGAGCGGCGGGCTGGAGGCGGGACCCGGCCGCGGGGAGGCGGAGGCCCCGCTGCGCCTCTTCCCGGGGTGGCCAGGCCCGATCCTGCGGAGCAGCGGCCACCGTGGGCGTCCCGGAGGCGGAGGCTGGTTCCGGAGGCCGCCCGCATCCCGCCTCCTCCCAGCGCCCTGGGCCCGCGGTCCGCGGCTCTGGAGGACGGGCTGGAGCCAGAGGCGGCTGCGGCGACTCGGCGGGGTCTGCCCCGGGGAGATGGGGACAACCCTGGCTCTTCTTGCGCCTCCCCCCTAGTTCGTAGCTTCCAAAGTTAAGCAGGGCTGAGGGGCAGCGTCTCCAAGTGGTGACGGCGGAGGCAGCATTTGAGCTTGCCTGGAGAAGGGACCCCGAGCCCCGCAGCCTGGAGGCCGGGGATGCCACGGCAGGTGTTGGTTCCCCCCGGCGTTGGCGGCGTGTCCCGAAAGGCCAGCGAGGCAGCGCCCGGGAAACGAGCCGGCCTAGAAGCAGGTTTGACGGACTTGGATGGACTTAATTTTGACGAGCCCCTTTCCTCTCCTGGGTCACTCCTGACCCTCTCAGACCTCCTCTTCCACCTTTCCTGGAGGGGGAACTTCCGTTCTGCTCCGAGCCTGCCGAGGGCGTGGTGGAGATTAAGGGTAGGTTTGCAGCGGTGGAAGAGGTCACCGACACGAGTGTTTGAGCCGCCATCTGGGTAAATAAAGAGAAGCTGCCTCAGTCACCGGGAGGCCGAGGCACATCGTATCTCAAGAGGCGTCAGCTAAGCCCCTACCTGTGAACGCCCGGGTTGTGCAAAGCATGTGTTCCCTTCCCCGTGGAGCCGGGTGATGTGGGAGCAGTATGGACGGCTGTGTGCTGGGACACCTGTGTGAGTGTAAACGTGACGAACTGGCGCCAGAGTGGCCCCGTGTGCAGTGCCATTTGGGAACGTGATAGAGTGTCGCTGGATACTAGCTCCTCCCAGGCAAGAGCATTTTCACTGAAAGTGTCACGTTCTGGGGCTGCCTTCGTTTTCTGCCCTAGGTCTGGTTTTAGGTGAGACAGCATTCTTAAGTTACCCAGACGCCTGGGTGATGGGGCCGTGAGAGATCTCCTTTCTGATCTTCAAGGTGAGCGTATCTATTGCCTCTCCATTCCACCAAAAATTCTTGTAGCTGTACTCTTGGTGGGGAAAGATGATTTTTTTTTTTTCCAGAAAGAAAGAGGAAGTCCATGAATAGACCGATTTACCTTCCTGTACCCTTCAGCTAACCAAACCCCCAGGTGCCACACTGATAGGGAAAATGGAAGGAGAACTGTCAGTTCCTAGATGTGAGAAGTGAGTGGTGGTGCTCCTCTCTCTGTTATCTGGTCTGATTTTGAGTTCTCGACTTTGGGATGTGTTACCCAGTATTACCAGCTGGTTCTCACAGTGGCTGTGAGCTGATTGTGGCCATGAATCCTTGGGGATTCATGATGTTATAATACATGCACTAGGGAACTCAGTAAAACACATTAGTGTTAATGAGTAAAAGGTCTGAGTTTTTTAAAGAAAGCCATGCACATCCAAGTTAGTCACTTCATTCCGACATAAAACAAGTTGAAGTGTATTTTCTTTATATAGATGCACTCAGTAAATCCGTGTCCATGTATCAGTAGTGTGGTTGTGTTATTAATCTATAACTGATTTTTATAACATTAGGGACAAACTTAGTTACCAAGCTTCATTGGGAACATTAATGTTGCAAATGATGAAATAATCCTTAATTTGGTTCGAGTTTTATTAAAGGGAGGTTTAAAGTAATAATGATCTAGTTTAGGAGAATTTTGTTTTCAGTTCCTAACCTCTACTCTGATTCTGTAATTGTTTTCCTTATTTTTGTTTTTAGAAGGGAAAAGTACAGTGTTAAATCTTAACATGTCTCGCTTTTGTTATTGCTTATAAACAAGAAGTTGTATATTTCACTGCTAGATTACTGAGCTTGTATACTAGAGTAAATATAGCAGGACACCTTGGAATAAAGTCACCCATATTCAATGAGTTCTAGAATGACTTAATTAGAAGTAAGTTAGTTTTCAGCTGGGCCCTGTGACTCATGCCTGTAATCCTAGTACTTTGGGAGGCTAAAGTGAGAGGATTGCCTGAGCCCAGGGGTTCGAGAACAACTTGGGCAACTTGGTGAGCCCTCATCTCTACAATAAATCAAGAAAAATTAGCCGGGCATGGGTGCACCTGTAGTTCCAGCTACTTGAAAGGCTGAGGTGGAAGGATGGCCTGAACCCAGCAGATCGAGGCTGCAGTGGTCATGAGTATTGCCTCGGCGACAGAGTGAGACTCTGACTCAAAAAAAAAAGAAGTTCGTTTACTTTAATAACCAGTTCCTGTGCCATTTTCTTGTTAATAATTTGTATGACTGGGTTTTGAAAAACCAATTATAGTAACATTTATATCTATTTCTGTCTTATTATTATTTCAGTCTCTATAATTCAGGTAGATTAAACTGCTTTTTTAAAAAATTACTTTTCAATATCAATTGTTAGGTTCTGCTTTTAAAATCTTCAGAGGACAACTCTGAAATAGATTCAGAAATTCAGCTGTGAGCCAGGCGTGGTAGCTCACGCCTATAATCCTAACACTTGGGAGTTCGAGGTGAGAAGATTGCCTGGCCAGGGGTTTGAGACCAGCCTGGGCAACTTGGTGAGACCTCATCTCTACAACGAATCAAACAAACAAACAAAAATTAGCCGCATCCGGGCTTGGTGGCTCAGCCTGTAATCCTGTGCCTTGGGAGGCTGAGGTGAGTGGATTGCCTGAGCCCACGGGTTCGAGACCCGCCTGGGCAACTTGGTGAGACCTCATCTCTGCAATAAATCAAAAATTAGCCAGGCGGGGTAGCGCGCACCTGTAATTCCGGCTACTCGGAAAGCTGAGGCGGAAGGATCACCGGAGCCCAGCAGGTCGAGGCTGCAGTGGCTGGGAGCGGCCACTGCACCCCAGTCTGGGCGACAGAGCGAGACTCCAAGTCAAAAAAAAAAAAAATTAGCCGGCCATGGTGGCTTCTGTCTTTCTCTTCTTTTTGTTGCCATAGGAACACTTAGGTCTTCTCTGTTGGTGACCTGTATTGGCAGTCTCCTTGGCAAGTCCTGGAGTGGGTCTCATGCTCTAAACTCTTGGCAATCTGTTATTCCACAGTTTGGTTAAACAGCACCTCCTGGTGTTGAACACTTGGTTTTCTAGTCTTTTGCTGTTGTAAATTCATACCTACAACCTTCAATCCCACTTGTTGTTTTCATGTAAAATGTATATTTTTCCCAAGTTACTGTACTGAATTTTAATGTCTGTGTATATAAGTGTTGGTCTTCATTTTAGTAAATTGCTACATTGTTTTCTGATGATCAACATATGTTCAAGGGAGAACATTTGGATAAGAGAACCTGAGTTACCTATAATCCTACCATCAAAGGTCAAAGGTAAATACTGTTAAGTATTTTCTTAGTCTTTTTTGAGGAGGGGGGGCTAACATTGCCACCTCACCATGTTTCACAAAAATTTTGAATGCTGTGATGTATTCAAGTACTGTATGGTCAAAGCCTATCATAGGAAATTTTTTTTTTTTTGAGTTGGAGTCTCACTCTGTCACCCAGACGGGAATGCAGTGGCCGCTCCCGGCCACCGCAGCCTCGACCTGCTGGGTTCTGGCGATCCCTCCGCCTCAGCCTTCCAAGTAGCTGGAACTACAGGCGTGCGCTACCATGACTGGCTAATTTTTTTGATTTATTGTAGAGATGAGGTCTCGCCAAGTTGCCCAGGCGGCTGTCGAACCCGCGGGCTCAGGCAATTCACTCACTCAGCCTCCCAAAGGCGCGGGATTACAGGCTGAGCCACCGAGCCTGGCTGTATCATAGGAAATTATTACAATTGAAATATCCAGTATTTCAATGAGAAATTATTAAACAAATCAGGGCAAAACCACAGATTCAGTGAAAATCGTGTTTCAAAACACTCTGTATGTGTGTGTGCCTTTGAGCTCCAGGAGAATAAAACTGAATAAAACCAGGATATTAAACAAATTATTGGTGGATAGTGACATTTTTATATTCCTTTTAAATGTTAATATATTTTCTAGAATTTCTGCAGTGATCATTAAATATTTACATAGTCACAAAAAGTATCATTATAAAAAATGTTTTTTTTTTGAGTTGGAGTCTCACTCTGTTGCCCAGACTGGGGTGTAGTGGCCGCTCTCGGCCACCGCAGCCTCGACCTGCTGGGCTCTGGCGATCCTTCCACCTCAGCCTTCCAAGTAGCTGGAACTACAGGCGTGTGCTACCACGTCTGGCTAATTTTGATTTATTGTAGAGATGAGGTCTCTCCAAGTTGCCCAGGCGGGTCTCGAACCTACGGTCTCAGGCAATCCAAAAAGTTATTTTTAAAAAGTGAACTCCTAGTGGAAGATTTTAAAATTTGTTTGAAGTCTTTTAAAAATAATGTATTTAAATTCCTTTATACAGTGGGTCAGATTCATGGTCACTATGAATGCAACTTTTATTTTGGCCCGCTAATCCTAATGTGAAGCAGGAAAGTTGTTAGGGCTTCTCAGTTTTGTTAGAAGTTACTGTAAGTTCCCTCCTGCAGTTGAAGTATGTTGAATACAGAATTTTTCCCTAGATTTTTCCATTAATTATTGAATTATCTGAATGAGACCACTTTCAAAATTAAATTTTTAGAGTGACCTCATATAGGGCCTATTTCCCAATATTCAGACTAATTCTGCTCTACACTTACAACTCTTTGAGATGGGCGATATCTGAGGGCATTCTAGAGCCAGTGTTCACACCAGTGTGGGGACAAGAAAATATTTTCACTCTTCCTTATAGTTTCCTCTGAGAGAGATTTTGAGGTGATGGATACTTTGAAAGAAGGGTCATTGAGATGAAGTGTGTCTCCCATGTAATCACAGATCTTTATCTTCTGGGCCATTTGCTG